CCAAATTTATTGTTCTAATAAGATGATGGCATGATAGAAATATAAGCGGAAGAGGGTTTGCAAGATCATATAAGAAGCTTTTTTTTAAGCCCTTTCTCAACTTAAAAGCCTAAGCTAGAGCTAACCACAAAAATCATAAAAATCTCAAACTGGTCCAATCTAAGCCAAATTGTACGAGTTTAAGAAACTTTTAGGTAGCGTTTGGTAGAATTTTAAAATTATGATTTGAGAATAGAATTGTATTTTGAGTTTGTGCGTTTTAAAATTATGATTTGAATGTGAAAAATTTGTTTGGTTATGAGTTTTGAATTGAATTTTTGATGTGACATATGATATTTGATTCAAAAACTTAAAACTCATAACCAAACACACAATCCAAAATTATATTCAAAGCTCATAAAAAATTTTAAAAAAAATTCTGAAATTTTTTTTAGTTAAAATATAAAAAAAAATTAAAAAAAGAAAAACAACTGTTCCGGTCAATCGGCCGGAAATCTAGGGGATGACCAGGTAGACGAGTTTTCAAACGCGGGTGTGGAATTAAATTTGAAAGTTGTATCCAAACAGAGGGTTCACGTGAAGGGGTATTATTAATTTTTTCTATAGAACTGTGATTGTTTCTATAGAACAATTTTTTTCTGGTATTATTAATTTCAGTTTACAAAAATAAATTGTGATCAATTTTGGATTTTTTTTTTCTTCAGAAAAATGGTTTTATGAATCCTTTTGATGCCACTACAGCTACTATAATACATTCCTAATGATTTATTTGTCTAGTTTCAATATATCTCACCCAAAAAAATAAAATAAAATTGGGCATTACATTGAATCATGTTCTAATGAAGAACTTCAATCAAACAAATTTTCTAACAGTTTTCAACAAAAATTAATCCATTATTGATCAACTATAACCTTTCAAAGAGAATTCAAAAATTCTGCTCAAAAAAAAGAAAAAAAAGAAAAAAAAAAGAGAATTAAGAAATTCCATATTAAAACCACCCTAATCCGCTCCATGAAACAACAAAACAAGTTGATAAGTTCACCAAATTAGGTTTGCATTTTCTTTTTAACAATATAAATGCGTTTTCACTTGCTTCAACGTTACACTGGGCAGCTTGCAAACAATAACAATATTATAAAACAAATATTCAAATCCCAAGATCTATTTTCCAACAAGCATAACATACGAAGATTAAAGGATGCATTTGAACATCAGATATGGTGTATTATGGATCCGTTGGGAATAGATTATTTTGGTAAAAGAAAATGTTTAAGACTCACATAAAATTTTATGTACTCACAATGATATAGTATCATATGTGTTAATTTTGATTTGTTATAAATCCAATAATCATTGTAGATGAATTATTTAGTAAAAAAAAATTATTAAAAAATTGTGATTATTTCACAATTACCAAGTGCTTCTCGGGCACGTGATTAGCAGCAACCAATAATACTTTATTTCATGATTCTTGAAATTTGTTCAATTTTAAATAATAGGTTAAGAATACCAAACTATTACATGCATCTAATTTAATTAATGAATAAATTACACTTTGCACTCTTGTATTTTATACCAAATTTTACTTTGATCTTTACACATGAAATTGTGGCAGTAAACTCCTGCACTTTTAGTCAATTATCAATATCTTCCTTTTATTACTCTACTGTATAAACCTTTAATAAAAATAATAATATAATAAGCACATGACTACGGAATGTAATTTACCCTTAATTAATAAAAATAGAAAATTATTGAATTCAAGAAAATTTAATGTAATATTAAATACGCAATAATAATTTAACATTAGACCGTTACTAAAATCAAGAAAAATTAATACTATCCTATTTAATAGAATTAGGGTGCCTATTGTCCTGATAAAGAAAAAAATAAAAATTAGGGTGCCTATTGTATATGTCAAGCATTACTGGCACTGTTTGTGCTCATAGTGAGGCTCACTCTGATTCTTATTTTAATGATTGAAAGTATTTATTTTTTATAGTATATCGTGTACAATATATTTATAAAAATAAGTTAATTGAATAACGATAACCCTTTAATCGAAACATATTTATAATCAATATTATATTTAAAATAACTCTTACTATTCATTTTTATCGATACAAATGTGTTTTGATGAAAGAATTACTGTTGTCAGATCAACTTAATTATTTATAGATATGTTTTTCATGGTATACGCTAAAAAATAAACAGTTCGAATTATCAATATAAGATTCAGAGTGAGCCTCAAAGCGTGCACAATAGTGCCCACATGCTAGATGCACAATAGGCACCCGAATTCCCTATTTAACCTATTGTAATGTTAGAGATATCAAATTTTTTACCAAACAAATTACCATAATAATAATGGACACTGCTAAACATTTATTAGCATTTTTCTTAGCCACATCTTATCAAATACCCCAGAGACATTTATTAGCATTAACCATAATAATAATGAGCATTGCTAGACATTGGCTTCTTTTACTAGTATATATATTCGAACCACACACATTCCCATTCCCATTCCCATTTCCATTCCCATTTCCATTCCCATTCCCACGTGTATTGAGGTCTCAAAATCATTCTTGTGACAGAAGTCTACTGTCTTTCAGGTATTTGTTTATGATTTATGGCATTATAATTTTTTCCTAGTTAATAATTTGTTATTTTTTAATAGAAATTTCTGTAACTTCGTTCAAATGTAAAGATGTATTAGTCTGAATTCCAAATTAGAGAGTGAAAAATTAAATAAATGTTTGTCATTCAATCAAGCAAAGCTGCATTTCACAACATCTCTCCCTACAAGTATATTTTGTTAACAGAAAACGGTGTTAATTCATGCTTAATAGGTGTAAAATTAGTATATTTCAATCCATTTTTACTAAACTCAAAAAATTAAAATTAAAAAAATAAACATTTATTGTATTTTCCTTCACTTACTTTTTTTACATGGCAATCATTACTTTAAGCAAATTATGCCTTGTTTTTGTACGTGGGTTTGTAAATTTACTCAATATTTCCTGTTTAATTTGTCTGTTCATTTTCATTGTTATTTGGTTTACTTTGGTTTAGCAGTTTGAGTTGTCTTTTTTACTTTCTTCATAATAGAATATTGCTAACCATTATGCTTTATTTTTGGTTCATTAAAATGAATTGTAATTCCATAGACTTTCATATGAATGACTATTTATTTAAAATTGTAAAAGGTAATTCTATTTATATGCGCTTGTTATTATTATTTTTTAATTTAATCAAACATATAAATGAATATTTTGATGGAATGATAATTTCATTCCACTTTAATCATTCCAATGAATGAAACACTACCTAAGGAGTTGGTCTGGTGGTCAAGGTTGGGGAAATGGGGATGTACTCTCTCTATGTTCTTAAGTTCAAAATCTTCTTGCCCCAAACAATTTTTTGGGTCAGTCCATACTTTAATTGGACTATCTGTTAGTAAACGGCGAGATTGGTGGTTACCAAGTTATAAAAAAAAAAAAAATAATAATGTTCTCTCGCACTCTTATTAAAACAAATTTAAGAAATTGATTTACAAAAACAAATTTTACATAAATAATTTAATTAAAATAACTATTATAATTTAATTAAAGGAAAATGCATTAGACTCCCAGTGTGGGTGACCCCCACCACCCCCACTGATTTTTGATTGATTAAAAATTATTATTATTATTATTATTTTTTTGACCTTGCTCTCACAGCCCCCACGTGGAGGCGGGGGAGCTGGGGGTCACCCCCCAACTGGGGTCTCCAGCAGTGCTCAGATAAGGAATGGAATTATATGATAAGGAAAAAAACACACAACTTGTGTTGCTTGTCGTTTTGCAAGCGTCGATTTTTTTTTTTTTTTTGGGTCAATATATAAGAGAGATATTTACAACCAATCTATCAACCCCAACTTCTCTATTGAAATTGAACCGGTGACTATACAACTATTAGATTAAACATCCTAATTTAATTTTACGAAATGTGCGTCCTAATAGCAAGTGTATACACACTAATACTTCAATTGCAATGATAATAGGGCTAGTGTATGTCTCAGGTACAAGGATATTCATTGTTCAAAGTTTCATGATTTCAATACGATTCTAATTTAATGCCAAGCATGGGTGTCGTTTGTTTTTTTTCACATTACATAAAAAATAAAAATAAAGGATAAACTACAATTTAGTCTGTAAAATAAAAATATAGATTCATTGTCATTTTGGTCCCTTAATTTTTAATTTTGTCAATCAACTAGGCCTTACCTAATTAACCACCATAACTTTCTTACCTGGGGGAGGTTACTCAACTCTTCTTAGGGAGAGTTAAATTTACAAAGGGTGGGAAGGCTAACTTCTAAATGTGCTAATCTAAAAACTAATAACTGATTCTAGTAGATCAAAAAAATAATAATTTTGTCATTTTGCTTCAAAATTGTCAATTTGAGGCAGATTAATATAATTTCAAAACGGATGTTTAAATCGTTAAGAAAAAATAATCATAAATTTTACTATGGTCCTAAAAATGTATATTTTGTGTCATATTGGTCTCTCAAGTATCAATTTTATTAATTTCGTCCTTTAATATTGTATGGTTATGTTTTATTTTCTTCATTAATGTTTCATGACCAAATTGACAAAATTAAAAACTTCCAGGACCAAAGTGATACGAGTAACAAGAAACACAAATTTTAAAGAACATGTGTGTATTTTATTACCATTCTGTTAGCTATTTAGATAGTACACTTAGAATTGGAACAAATTGACTCAAATTGAAATTTGAATGATGCAATTGACAAAATTAAAACTTGAAGAACCAAAATGACAATAAACGCACACTTTAAGGACTAAATATATTTTGTTCAAAAATAAAATATGTGAACCTTATGTGTATAGATATAGTACGACTGTAATTTCATTAATTGCCTTAAATAATTATAGCATGATTGTTGTGATATTTTATCACTAACTACCTTGTTTTTTTTATTATTTTCCAGATCATCCCATGGACTTACATGCTATTGTATTATTTCTGTGTGCATGCTCTCACCTTGTGGGACACAATGGAATTGAAGGAGACTGGAGGAGTTTAACTAAAGAGGAAGATTTGGAGTTGGAGGAGCAACTTAAGCATCTCAACAAGCCAGCAGTCAAGACTATACAAGTATTTATTCTCAACTATTATTAGAAACATTTAGACTGCATTTGGATCACGAATTTAGATAGAGAAATGGAATAGTTAGGTAAAGTATAATTACATTTGATTCACTTTTCACTCATGTTTTCTATTTCCCTTTTCAAACTCATATATAAATTTAAAATCCAAACATAGTCTTAATTCAATTTTGCTATGTTTGTTTCATGGGAGTAAATTATATTTGATTAATAGACTTGCCATAATTGATGTTGATATTATCAATTGCATGTTGTATATCCCAGTTTGAAATGTTCCTGGATTGGGAAATTGGTAAAATCTTATCATATCTCATGTTTGTCTGGAATCACACTAGACATACATACATAGTGTAATCACCATAATGGGAGAATATTTTGGTGCTTTTACTAATGCAGACCCTTCTTAATCTCTCATCTGTATCTCATCACCTTATAGAGGTCAATAATCAGTCATATCCCATACCTAATGTCTTATTTTGTATCTACCTCTTATGGAACTTAATAATCACCATATAAAGGATAAATCGGAACATAAAGTTGTTGACACGTATCTATCAACAAACTATTGTCTCAAATATAATAAATAAAAATTTAAGTTGAGCTGGTTTCCTAGGATGTCCTGAGACTAGTTTCGAGAACATTCAATTCCAATATTGTCCTCTTAAATTTTCTATGAAAATCAAATGGCAAAGATTAATAGGCATCTTAGGCCTAATATCATGGATGTCTTGAATTGCAACATCTAATTTGATGTTCTGAACTTGAGAATACAGAATATGGTATTATTATTTTTGCACAAAATTTTGAACAACCTTTCATGAATTGAACAATTGTATATAAAAATTAACAGAAAGATTGTAACATTTACAGAATAATTATGGAGATATATATGATTGCGTGGATTTCTACAAACAGCCTGCATTTGATCATCCTTTACTGAAGAACCATACTTTTCATTTTCAGGTTTGTCTCCATACATCCTCTTATCTCCAACACATAATTGAAGGCTACTTAATTATTTATTCAACACTTTACAAGCACAAAATAAATCATAGAACACTGTAGTTCGCACAATAGGTGTTGGGATTATTGCACATCCTAAATTCAAATGGAAGCACATCCATATGCACACACTAAAAATTAAAATCACAAAGACTTGCATACAATAGAGAAATATACTATGAATCATAGCGAGTACAACAATGAAACCAAAAACCTTTAAAATCTGACACCAATACCGAAGTCTTGAAACTCTGCCCATTTCCCTACTTAATATTAACTGATTCTAGAAGCTACACATGCTTACTTACTCATTATCGTTGTCTCCAGAATTTTTTCATATCCCCTACATCTTTACAAAACCTCTCAATCTCACACCTCTACAATACTTCTTTTTATTGGCAAAGGGAATAATTGTATTGATCAAATCCAATAGATAAAATATAATTTTGGGACAAGCATCAATAAAAGAGAGGAGATTGTAGAGAAGATTCATATTTGTAGGCAAACCATAGAAATGTTAGTCCCATACAATTAATAAAACCCTACACATTGAATTACTAGTGAACTCTTGATTTCACAACCTAACCCAAAATACAGTATGGATCTTACCAAATTTGATACACACAGCCGACACTAATAACTTTATGAGGCTCATAGAAAACAAGACATGCACGAACCCAACAATAGAAGCCAACTCTTTTGAATTTTTTGTAATCCATTATGTGATCAATTTATGTGCAAGTCTCCTTTACCTTTTTCGAATTGAGTTGAATTGCAGATGAAGCCCACTTCATCACCTAATGGATCAAGACATCAGGTTTCCTCAAAAGATAGCAAACCTCTACATGTAGGACTAAAGGGTGGAGGTTGCCCGGTTGGAACAGTTCCAATTAGAAGAACTACTAAAGAAGATCTCATTAGAGAGAAACTTGCTTCAAAAATAATGACTCCTGCAGATGGCATTGGTGGTGCTGATGTAAGTTATCCTAGTCAATCAAGATTATATAGCTTCACAATACTAGTTTTGCACTATTGCTTGTTTTCTATATTTGGTTTTATTTGTTTCTATGAATCACCTTCTTGAATGAGCTGTCAACACACACAGAGAACACTCTAGCCACATTTTTTGATCCTATAAATTGATTTTAGTTCTCATTTTTTGAAGCAATGTTTAGCCTCATCTTGTTGAAAGTTTTAGGCAAACTTTTGATAATAATTTTACTTGTAGATGTGATTGTTTACATGCCTTGAATCTGCACAACCAAAAACACTAAACGTTAAATCTTACAGTTAGGGCACAACGCGTTATTTGAATGAAAAGAGGGGGAAGAATCAACAAAAAAAAGTAAGCGCATGCATATATATACTTGTGTTGGGTTGGGTTTCCCTCGTATGTGGATGATGGCCTAAATAGTCAGTAAAGCCCATGTGAGTCTCAAGCCTACATGGAGAGATTATGGTAGCGTTTGGTTTATTTTTCAAAACTCAACCATGATTTGAATACAACTTGTTAACCAAACATATTTTTAAAATAAAACTCAAAATTACTTTCAAAACTCCTTTTTATTTTTATTTTTATTATTAATCAATCAATCATTTTTTCTCTCTCATCTCTCCTCTCACATTCTATACATCAATCAATCTAAAAGAAAAAAATTACAAATCATTTCGAAACTATTTTCAAAACTCATAACTAAAACAAATTTTCTCTTTTCAAATCACGATTCAAAAACTCAAAACTCTATACTGAAATTATAATCCTAAAATTAAACCAAACAGATAATGTTTTTTGTTTGGTTTTTGGTCCATGTGTGTGATGAGACAAAAACCCTCTCTACTACCCTAGAGAGAGAGAGAGTAGAGTGCAACCACCAAACAAAGAGGAAAAAGGGAGCCAAGCAGTTTTTTGATAAACTCTATCCAGCTTTGATCAACTAGTTCGATCGGCAAGCATTCATGGTCCGATTGAGCTGAAATTTGGTAGATCTGAACGGTGGAGATCAGATTTGGAGCACTCTGAATTTGGTTTTCTAGCTTGTGAACAGTACCCTATTTTTGGAGATCTTTCCTAAACTTTGTAACTAGTTCTTTGGTTGCCAGGAAAACTTATTTGTAGTTCTTCATTGTTTGCCACTAGTTCTAACTAGAGAGAACTCTTGTACACGCACTATTCTTTGATAGTGGAGATATTTGGTGGACTACAGTTCCGCAGTTTTTTCTTTCTCACAGTGGGAAGGTTTTCCACGTAAAAATTGCTCTTGCTTTTTTTTTCTTTTTTTTTTTGATCAGAAAATTGCTCTTGCCTTGTTGTGTGATTTTAAGATTTTTTATTTTCAGATTATATATATATTGTGCTCTATTCAAATTGTTTCCTAATAGATTCACACAAAGAGGGAGAAAAATTACTTTTACTATTTTGTGCTAGATTTGGGTATTTCGAATTGGCCTTTGGTTTTCTCCCAACAATATGGATATGTACAGATTTTGAGAGTGGAAAAGGTTAAAAGGGAAAATATAAAAGTAACACATATGTTTTGGACTTTTATTACCCAGTATGCCATAGTTGAGACAATAGATGGTCCAAACAAATACAGTGGAGCGTCAGCGGTGCTTAGTGTACACCAACCAGATGTCGTGGGTAAACAATATAGTGCAGGGCGAATGATGATTCAAAATGGGCCTGATAGCTTACAAGTCGGGTGGAGGGTAAGTTGATCTTCTTGCTTCTTGTAAATTAACTTCTTACTTATTTTAGAAACAATTTTCACAAGTAAAAACTAGCTTCACATAGACAAAAGAATTTGTTTTTATTATGTTTTTGGTTTGTCTCAGGTGGATCCATCTCTGTTTGGTGACGCACGTCCTCGACTATTCATATATACGAATGTAAGTATCATTGCTTTTTATTGCATATTACTTGATTGACTATATTTTCTTAGTAACTCTTACAATATATTCGTATATGTTTGTCTACCAAACAGGCAGGTCAATCTCATTGTTTCAATACAAATTGTCCTGGATTTGTGATTGTGGACACAGCAATACCTCTTGGTCAAGTACTTGAAGAGGTCTCTATACGTGGAGGGACAACGGTTGGGATAAAAATCTACATCTTCCAGGTTACACTTGAAAACTTTTAATTATGAAACAAGTTCCCAAGTCATGCTACCATTGTGTCAAATAATTATTACACCAATAATCATAAAACAAAAATCACAATTAAGTAATTAGTGGTAAAGAAATAGAATTTGCATTCTTCTGTTCAATTATTCAATTTTGATATCCATGTAAAAATATATAGGACCTAGCTAATGGAAACTGGTGGCTTGGAGTTGCGAATACCAATCTCGGATTTTGGCCAAAGAGAATACTTGGTGGCGGATTAGCAAACTTAGCTTCACGTGCTGAATGGGGAGGAGAGGTATTTAGTCCACCGGGCACCCCGAAACCTGCTATGGGGGGAGGTCATTTTCTAATTCAGGACACAAGATATGATGCACACTGCAGGAATATTGCACTTAAGAGTCCAAGTGGAGGGGATATAAATCCTCAAACATACGAGTTTACAAACAATAGAAAACTGTATGAAGTGAAAGATGAAGGATACCAGGGGGCTCTTTTTGGGCATCTGGTACTATATGGGGGCCCTGGAGGTTCCTAGAAGGAGAACACAAATTTGGTACTTTTAAAATTTCATTTTGGCATGAATTAATAATGTAAAATTGACCACCCCTTGTCCTTTTATATATATATAATTGCATGTGCTTTGCAAAACTTTTATTAAGACTCAAATGCTATTGTTTATGCTTGGGGTGATGCACAATCCAACCCTTTTAGCTTTGCAAATTTTAATCTGCTTGTCTGCATTGTCAACAATTAAAAAA